ATGCCATAAAATTGTAATTGCACAAGACTCGATTAACCTATTTTTTCCTTTGCCTTTTTTTTAAAAGAAACTTCCCTTTACGATCCCAGAGTTGGTACAGGCATCCCCGTGCCGAAGTTCAGATGGAATCCTCTACATGGGTAAGAGTTCCTGTTTTCCACACCGAAGGCTCCAGCTTCTTGGAAGCGAGCCCCAGGATCTGGGAAAGCAGCGAGTGGCTAAGCCTCCTGGGAAAGGCCGTTCTCACCTCCCTGACACTTGTTCACACCAGGAGCAGCTGAACAATTAAGAAAGGTTCCCCCCACTTGGGAACAGACTTGACACCATTAACATGGTTACTCATTTAACAAGCTTTTAGCTGCTGTGTTGACCTACCCCAGCCATTTCAAGATTACAACATACCCAGAAGCAACTGGATGAAATTTAAAGTGAATACAATAGCTTGAGCCAAGAAAAGGGAAGCCAGGCCCTGCCTATTAATTATAGGGCTTTCTTAGTATTTCCTGCTATCAGAATATTGGATAAAAACTGCTCTGAACAGCTTGCCTAGATAAGCTGCCTTCCTATCTACAGGGGTCACATCTTTCAAAGCGTCAGATCACCTGCTTTTCTTTTACCCTGGAGCTGCCAAAATGTCAATAAAAATGCATTTGTAACACAAAGGAGAGCTGCATTTATCTTGAAATCGTAGCAGTAACGATATCCTGTATTTATACAGCAGCTTTCTTGGGAACTGGAAGTGCTCATTGCCTATTCATGTCTTAGGAGCTATATTCCGAGTATTTCTTGGCCTCAAGTGCAAGCTGAATTTTAAGTTTTTGCTAGGGACCCTGGGCTGCTGCTTCCTTCTACACTTTCAGAATGAGGAACCTCCTGGCCTAGGGAACTGGAGGAAGTGGTCAGTTCAGCTTTCTCATTCCCCTGGGCCATGCCCCAGGCCCGTCTGACCTCCTTCTCACCATCTGTGTCACTGTTTTCTATTTGGTCTCCCAGCTTTTGCCAACGATTCATCACTTAGGGTGCATTTAAGATACTGTTTCCATCATCTTCGTGTGGTGCCCTCCTCAGTGATTTCATCAAGTATATTTAAAACCATGGCAGTTGCCCAGTCCATCCGTGGACATGATTAGTTGGGTTATGGAGCCTGTAATGGTCCTAGAAGTAACCAGAGGGTGCCATGCCAGGTGGGAAGGGATCATGGTCACAGCTCTTTGGTGATGTTTTCACCCTATCTTCAGATCGTTTTCATATCAAGATTTTGTTGTTAAGAACAGAAACTTAGGATCCATGGTCAGGTTTCACACATGTGGACTAGGAATATATGCTGCATCTGTTAGAACTAAGTGCAGCTTTAGCAAATTCTAATGCCCTGTGATCTTCCTGGCATGTCAGTGCTGTGCTTCCAATAGTCTCTTGAAATAGGAAACTTGGCCAATAAGTTAGGAAGATACAAGTGACCAGAGGCCATGACTTACAAAACGGAAATGCACATGTCGCGGTCAATGTGTTGACCCGCAAATGGAAGGTCCACCTACTACCAGGACGCTCTGCTGTATATGCTGTAGATACATATCTTTGAATTTTCCTAATAGTGGTATTTGGCTGTGCAGTCCACCTGTTTATACCTTTTAATCAGCTGACCCAGGTGAGAGATGTAGCCTGTGGCTGGGGACAGCGGCTGAGATCATTTTGGCCTCGTCACTACCAGGTTGCAACCAGCTCTACTGCCCAGTGACAGGTACCAGCTAATTAGAGTTATGACCAGTAACTGTAGAGCCTCTTTACACGTGAGCTTATTCGTAGGGATGTTGAGATACATGAATGATGGTAGCCAGCGAGCTGAACCCCCAGGGTACATTTCTGTATTTACATAAATTCTAGCCTCAGAGAAGAGGATTCCCCTTTACAGTCCAGACTTATAATATCAAGGGCCACTAATCAAAGCAATAGAATCTATGAGTTATTAGGTTTGGAGAAATTTTTATGCATGATTGGGTTATTAAGTTATTATCAGACCCAGTAGCCCAAGAAGTTTTATTATCTCCACATTACCATTCGCTTTGTCACCCTCAGAGCATCTTAGAAATGTCTTTGACATCCTAAGAATTTCAGGCCTGTCTCAGCACAGAGAACATCTCGGGCTGCTAGTTTGGCAGTGATGTTTTTTTCCCATAGAAGACAAGTGTAAACCACGGTGTGTTCTTGTGACCTTTCAGGTAAAAAGCAGGACATTTGGTATGTGGTTGACCTTCTGACCGGGGAGAAGCAACAGACTTTGTCATCAGCCTTTGCAGATAGTCTCTGCCCGTCAACCTCTCTTCTGTATCTTGGACGAACAGGTAAGAGGGAACCTTTTGTTGTGTGCACCCTGCCTGTTTCTAGAAAGGACCTGAAGCAGCCTCCCCGTGGGCCTCTGCCTCTGGGCTTCTTTCTCTAGAAAGTAGCCGGGTCTGTCTTCTCCAAACGCAGATTTTACCACATTGTTCCCTTTTATAAGACCCCCCGGGGCTCCCCATTGCCCAGAGATTATAGTCCAAACTGCGCACAGCCCACAAGGCCTCAGTGATGCAGCTGCTACCTCTTTAGCCTCCTCCGTCGCTGCCTTTCCCACACGTCAACATTTTCCAGTCAGGATAAATGACCTGCCATTCCCGGAATAAGCAGTGCTATTTTAAAAAACTTGGAATAGTGGGTCCCTTTTTACTAGGTATACACGTTTTTGCCTCTGTGGTCAATTTCCTCGCTTCCGAACCCATGCTGCTCCAAAGTCACCCCCTCTGAGAAGCCTCTTCCCCACCTCAGCTCCCCGTCCCTGCCCAGGTACAGTGGCTGTCCTGCTCTCGGGGCCTATAGTAATGGCCATCTCATCGCCTGTCATTGGCCCTTTAAGAGTCAGCAAAGCTACATTCTGTCTCCTCTCTCTTCTGCCTCTTTTTAACACTTGTCACTACATGTTTCTAAATCGTATTTGCCGGTTTTCTGCCTCCCCTACTAGACGTTAAGCTTCCCAAGGGCAGGACTGGTTTTTCTCGCCTACCCTATCTCCACGCGGGGCACCATGCTGGCACGCAGCAGGTGCTCAGACGCTGGAGCGAGCGAGCAGGTGGATGGTGAGCCTTTCTCTGCAGGAATCTGCCGTGTTCATCTTGTGTGCGCAGCACCTGACACCTAGCAGTACTCCGCAAAGACTGTGTGTGGAACAACAGTTAAAAGAGGAAGCAGGAAAACACTTAGAAGGAAAACTTACACCAAAAACCTAAAAAAAGAGAGAGAGAGAGACAGAGAGAGAGAGAGAAACTTTCTCCGAGTGCCATGGAAAACAGTACTTTTCTGAAAATGAGTGAGACTAATCTTAGGCCCTGTAGAAGCTGGCTGGGCTTGGGGAAGGTCTAGGTGAAATGTCAATATTGTTCCCGTTAACTATTGCTGCATGACAAACCACCCTAACTTAGCGGCTTCAAACACCAACATTTTATTGTTCACGATTCCATAGGTCAGGAATTCAGGGAGGGCTCAATGCAGGTCGATGGTCTGTACCCCACGTGCTGTTGGCAGGGCTTGCTCAGATATCTGGGACCTTGGTTCAGCCCCACACAGATAGCCTGGACTTATTTACATGGCGGCTGGGTCCTCTCCTCTTGAGTAAAGGTAGACGTAACAGTGCCTCGAAGGCCTGGGCTGAGAAGTCCTGGGACCTCACTTCCACTCAGTCTGTTCGGTCAAAGCAAGTCATAGGCCAGCCCAGAATCAAGGGCTAGGGAAATACTCAGCCTCTTAACGAGAAGACTGACATGCACATTACAGAAATGGGGATGGTGACGTTTTCAGACATTCTGCCACAGTCCTCCACCCTGCCCGCAGGCAGAGGATACTCATCCCTCCCCCGGATTCCCAAAGTCCAATCGCAGCATCAGTCTCAAAATCCAGCATCTCGTGCTCTCCATCAGGTGCGGAGGTGGGCAAGGCTCCCCACCAGCACCAGCACCCAGTGGGGACACTGCCAGGATAGCTGCAGACAACATCGCCATCCAAAAAGGGAGGGAATGGGAGGCACGTAGCAGTCACTGGGCCTTAGCGATTCTGGAGTCCAGCCAGGTGCATGTTTTCAGGGCCCCCGCTCTGCAGGCAGGGAAGAGTCCTCCATTAGGGCCCAGCCTTGCCCTCCGGGTTTGGTTCCCTAATCCATGGTTCTCAGCAGCTCTTGGTCCTGTCCTCTGAGAAGCCCTTTTCTTTTCTGTAAGAAATGGTTAGTGTTTCGTAGCTTTCTCAATCTGTTTCTTATGCATTGAAAGTTGGGGGTCTAGAGGCCTTTGTTTTGTTTTGTTTTCTTTCTTTTTTTTTTTTCATTTTGACCATCTCTGGTCTTTTTAGTCCATGCTGGTATTACTCCTTTAAAAACTTTGTGGACTTCACATGTCTCAAATTGTACTTCATTAAGTTAAACTCATACCCACAAGTCTCTCTTTTTTGTGCTATGGGCAACCCTCTTACAGTTTTTAGAACCCTTTTACCTAGCAGAAGGTCTGGTCTATGAAGTACCACCTTAAATCTTCTGAGGTCTCCAAAAAGAGTCTTACTGCCTCCCCTTGATTTGATCTTGACCTTGAGGCCATTTTTTTACTGGTAGCACCCTGAACTTGATCTTTGCCCTGATCAAGCCATTTTTTATATTGAGCATCTTTTCCACCTGGAGCATTAGTCTCCACATCGACCTTCTAGCCTCCATCTGCCACCCAGTCCCAGTCAATCGCACAAGCTTTAGGTTTTTGTTAAGGCACCTTCTTATTTCTAGGTACCACTTTCTAATATGAGCTTGCTGTATAACAAGCCACCCCAAAATGTAAGTGGCTTAAAACAACACTGTGATATTGCTCATGATGCTGTGAGTCATGAGTTCAAGGGCACAGTAGGTGGCTTGTCTCCGCTGCACATGCTGTCAGCCGGGTTCACTCATGTGTCTGGGAGTTCGGTTCTCCACGTGGCCTCTTTCCACATGGATGGCCTGGACTTTTTCTTCCAGGCAATTTAGGGAGGATTTGTCTGTTGTAAGTTAGATGAGGTCAGCACCTCGGCAGGTGCCGTGGCCCCTCCCGGTAACGGGCTGGTGTGTGTTCTCCAGAGTACACCATCACCATGTACGACACCAAAACCCGAGAGCTCCGGTGGAACGCCACCTACTTCGACTACGCAGCCTCGCTGCCCGAGGACGACGTGGACTATAGTATGTGCTCCCGGGTGGCTTTGCAAGGGTGGGGCAGGGGGTGGGATTTGTGACCTATGAGGAAACGATCACTCCAGAAAGCTGGATTTTCCTCAAGACACTCTTGGTCAGCAGGTTCTGGACTTTCCATGGACTTAGAGTAAATAATACTTCGTCAGTCTTGGAGGCAGGGGCCTGGGTGAGAAGTATGAAAGGGAACTCAAGTAAAAGGGAGGTGAGTGTAGCCTGAGAAGAGAGAGGGCACCCTCTGTTGAGTCCCTCTGTGTCGCAGAAGGAATTTACGAGAAGCCCATGGGAGGCAGAATTAAACATCAACTTGTGACATTAACTCACTCCCTAAATGTGGCTCATCCCCTAGTTATTTCTCTAGTAAGCATTCCTCCAACTCAAATGAAAGCTGAAAACCAACTTCCCCTCTGTGGTCAGATGCGGGCAGTGTCGGTGGTCAGCTCTGACTTGCAGCTCGATCAATAGGTTTGAAATGATTGCTATAAAACTCCATATTCGTAGGCATCTTCATTAGCTCTTTCTCCTCAGTATCTACTCTCACTAATTGAATGGAATGCTGAAAAACATCACCAAGTAAATGGCCTTCGAGAGAGCGATCCTGTCTTACGTTAATAAACCAGGCAGCTCTCAGTGTCTTATATGGTAGAGCCTGAGCAAGTTCATTGGAAACCAGTGAAACTATTCAGAGGAGATCTGAGAATACTCCAGAAGTCTTGTTTCCTCTAGCTGAGTGACTGCAGCTTGCCAGGAGAGTAGAGGATGTGGTTGCAAGATGGGGTGAGATTTGACATGCTTTGTTTATCTGATCTGTACAGAGATGTCCCATTTTGTGTCCAATGGCGATGGGCTGGTGGTGACTGTGGACAGTGAATCTGGCGACGTCCTGTGGATCCAAAACTACGCTTCCCCTGTGGTGGCCTTTTATGTCTGGCAGCGGGAGGGTCTGAGGAAGGTGATGCACATCAACGTCGCTGTGGAGACCCTGCGCTATCTGACCTTCATGTCTGGGGAGGTGGGGCGCATCACCAAGTGGAAGTACCCCTTCCCCAAGGAGACGGAGGCCAAGAGCAAGCTGACGTGAGTCGGGGATCCAGGGGCAGGAGAGGGCAACTGTGACCTTGACGTTTGGTTCTGATGCAGCGTAGCACACCGTACACTGGAGGCCAGGGCTCGGACAGGCAACTCGGAAGCTGAGGACTATAAAGAGCCAACCCTGGCTCATTCTGAAACCTTAGAATAGAAGAACGGGGGTGGGGTACCCCTTGACGTCTCAGAATTCTTGAATATTAAATGAATTAAGTAATGGGCGGGGACAGGAAAGAGATGGCCAGTATTCACAGAACAATGTGGATATTTCTCAGGTGGTGGGAATACAAGAGAAGTATTTATTTTTCAATTTTCTGTATTTTCTCAATTTTTATTGTAAGTTATATTCATACTAAAAATCAGGAAAACAGTGTTAATGATGTGTGTGTCCAAGATTCAGCAGGCCTGTGCTTTCCATAGCTACCTGTTAATAGGCCTTGCTGAGCCTCAGTTTCCCACTTTACAGAGCTGTTGGAGAAGATCAAATAAGATCATGTGCATGAAAATGTCCCCTAAATTGGACACCACCATTTAAGTGTAGGGTATTTGTTGAGAGAGATTTTGAGAAATTAGTAGGCGACCAGCTCCATACTGGCTATTGACAGTAACCAGGAAAATCTGGAGGTGTCGCCCCCACATTTTCACACTGACGTTACGGATATCAAACCCCACCCTCTCCATGATGCCCTAGATGGGCCCAGACCACCCGGCTGAGGGACTGGAAGTCTCACCCAGTTTGGAATTTTCGTGCATCCATTTGCTTCTGGCAACCAGACTAGAGCAGCTGGCCGTTTCTCAGGGCTTCTATAGACCCTCTAGATTCTTTAAGAATCAAGAGACAGAATGGTGATGATTCTGGTGTCAGCTTGGATGTCAGAGCTTGCCAGTCAGGCCATCTTAGAGGCTTTGTGATGGTTACAAGCATTCAGTCTCTCCCAGATGATCATTGCACATAGTTCTTTCTATAGGCCATCGTGAGGATGGTCTAGTGCAGCCCTGTCATTTGTAGATGAAGAAACCAAAGCTTGCAGTTGGGTGACTCGTGCATGCTTTTGTAGGCGGCGAGTGACTGATGGGTCCCACAGTCCAGTTTTCCTGGCTGCGAGGCAGTACCCTTGCCTTCACCCCCACAGTGCTCAGGAGTTAACCTGTTTACTCTTCCAGGTGGTATTAGGCCGGGATTCTTCTCTGCCCAAAGCCCCACTTTGTGAGATCCAGAACTTAAGTGACTGTGGAATGCGTGTGTCTGTTTTTCTCCTAGGCCCACCCTCTATGTTGGGAAATACTCTACCAGCCTCTACGCCTCCCCCTCAATGGTCCACGAGGGGGTCGCCGTTGTGGTAAGTCCACTATGGGCAGCTCGCAGATGCAGCCTCCTGACCGCTCCTGTTCCATTTTCACAAAGAACGACTTTGAATCACATATAAATATCCCTTTGGTTAAGAATATAAGACACAGATCTTAAATCCTCAAAAACAGTTTCTACACATGCCACCTTCTACTGGCGAGGAGAGCTGCATGACAAAAGCAGCTCCCTAAGCCTAGGAAGGAGCCCTGCGCATTCCCCTTTGCTTTGGTGTTCAAGTCTAAACTGCCCGGGCTGCTGTTCACAGCCCGCCTCAGTCCAGACCCACCATGCCCTTCTGCCGCAACGCTAGTGTCCAACCAAGCGCATCTTCTCCCTGATTTCCCAAAGGTCTTTGCTCATCTTTCTTAGCTTTTGTTCAGGTTGCGCCTCACACTTCAAATGCTTCCCCTTCTTCCTTTTCCCTACTCAAATCCTTTTCATTCTTTCGTGACCTACCGAAGCCTCCCCGGCCCTTGCCAGCCTGCCTCCAGCACTGTCTCTGAATGTCTGAGGCCTCATGATCCTGGCCGTGCGTTTGGGTCCTTAACAGTGTTTGAGCTGTTTGGTTGGCATCTCTTTGTCTTTCTAGTGAATTGGTCAGCTGCTCCTGTGAGCAGGGCTGTGCCTGCTTCAGTCGCAGCTCCCGCGAGGCCCAAGCCGGCCCCAGGCTTGTGGTTGGAGCTTACTCCACCCTGGTCAGGCGCATCGATTGTGGATCGGTAGATACCCACGCATTCTCCTTCACTTATGCTGCTTCTCACAGTAGCCCCTTGGAATTCCACACATACCCTTTCTGTTATCCAGTGCCCAGATGTAAGAATTTTAAAAAGTTTCCACGCTAAAGATGTTAGCACAGCATCGTCACCTCCTGAGGGAGGAGCCTCTCTGGCCCAGTCTTCCGTGCTTTGTGCGTTGTCTGGCTGACCCGGACAAGCCCCACCTGGAGGTATGGCAGTCCCTTGAAGGGTGCCTACTGCTCTCCTGCAGTGGCTTGCCCCTAGGCCTCACCCCAGTTCTGTCTTCACAGCCCCGAGGCAGCACTCTTCCTTTGCTGGAAGGCCCCCAGACCGACGGTGTCACCATTGGGGACAAAGGGGAGTGTGTGATCACACCCAGCACGGACCTAAAGTTTGACCCTGGGCTCAAAGGGAAGAACAAGCTCAACTATTTGAGGAACTACTGGCTTCTGATAGGTGAGAACGGGGGTTTCTCTTCGCCTCAGGTCAGGTGCTGCCCCCTGGTGGGAACAGTTGACCTTGCTCGTTACTGTCAACTGCAATGCGCTTGGTTCATGTCCTAATTGGTCTTTCAGACCTTGACATTTTTATCTGCAAGGGTAATAAACAGGATAGCTGTGTTGCCGAGTCAGTTCTCAAAAATTGTTTAACTCAATTGTTTAACTCAAACTCAAGTGCTAAGTACAGTCTTGTGTCACTTAACGGGGATTCGAGAAATGCATTGTTAGGCCATCTGGTCACTGTGAACGTCATAGAGCACACGTGTGGTCTAGCCTACTCCACACCTAGGCTCGATGGTCTAGCCTACTGCTCCTGGGCTGCACACGTGTACAGTACATTACTGCACAAAACAACACGAGATTAAATCAAAGCCCAAGAGAAAATGCGATCAAGAGAAGCAGTAAACAAGATGTGTGAGGCTGCTGGTGTGACACAGATACTGCTTCACAGCAAACTTTTGTTAATAAGTAGAAAGAATATACTCTAAAATAACGATAAAAACTACAGTGTGCTAAATATATAAATCAGTAACAGTCCTTTATTGTCAGTTATCATGTACTGTACGTAATTGCATACGCCATGCTTTTACGTGACTGGCAGTGCAGTAGGTTTGTTTACAACACAGACATCACCACAGACACATCAGTAACACGTTGCACAGTGGCGACATCACTAAGTGATAAGTTTTTCAGCTCCGTTATAATCTCATGGGACCATGGTCGTACATGTGGTCTGTCATTGACTAAAATGTCATTGTGTGGTGCACGCCTGTACTGTAAACTTTGTGCCGTTCCGACACACCTAATTTCTGCTGTGTGCCGGGCGTGGGCACTGAGCACTGTAGAGCACATTTCCTGATTTCTCACAACCCTGTGTGAGGGAGGCACCCTCTTTATTTCCACTTATAGTTAAGGAATCTGAGGCAATTGAAGAGTTCACTGGGAGTTGGTGTGGGCGTGGAGTGGGGAGGGTAGAGGCTGGACCTGCCTGGTCAGAACCACGGCAGAAATCCCGGGTGTGTTGTGGGGGGGGGTCCCTCTTCCTTCTCCTCTGTTGCTGCCATCACTAATGGTCCTGAGGTTGAACTGGAGGCCCTGCCAGCCGGCGATTAGAAGTTGATATGACACCCAAAGGTAGTGAATGTGACAAATGAAGGCAGAGTTGAGAGGAGCTGTGTCTCTGGCAAATGTCCTAAGTAATTAGAGCAGGCCAGAGTTTTCATGAATCTGACTTGCCCTTCCTGTGCTCCCACCCCAATTCTGCTGTCTCCCAGCCCCAGAGGTGGTGAGAGGTGGGGATGCAGCCCCAGGGGGTGGGGTGGGCAGGAGGGAAGTGGGGGTGCCAGAGCGCATAGGGGCTTGTGAGATTTCTCCTTGCCATTCTCTTTCTCGATGCTCCCGCTGACTGGTACCTGGGCGCAGGGAGGGCAGGGCTGGGGGCCCTGGGGAAGGGATGCGGAGTGGCTTGGGAGAGCGTGGGGCCCAGGAGGCCGCAGGATCTCTGAGCGGTGGGATCTGGATGGGCGTGTACCTGGGCGTTGTGGAGAGGAAATTGTGTGTACTTGAGCCCTGAACGGTCCCTTCGTACTGTCCGGGTCTTGTTCTTCTGTGTTCGTCCTGACTCCTTGTAGCCATTTGTCTTTTAGTTATTATTTTTACCAAATAATGGGCAAAGGAGATGACAAAATAATTCTACCTCTTTTCTTGAATAGAAGTAGTTTGGAAAGCATGTGTGAATGGGTCTATGATAAGGGGAAAAGTAGCTGATGAGCAGAGGCCAATAAAATGAAAAGGCTACTTAGTTTCATGTGCCATTTAAGGGGGACACAGACTGCCTACCAGTGGTTAAGAAGTGAAAAAAATTATTGGAAACTAAAGAAAGGTGTATATAAGATTACAAAAAAATATGGGGGGAAATCTAGCGGCTCAGTTGCAAAATGATGTCCTTTTAAAATGGAAAGATTGCCCAAGTGAGAAAACTGGAAGAACCCACAAAGTTTAAATAAGTAGTTAGGGAAGCGCCCCACAGTTCCGAAGGCTCTTTTGAGGAATTCCAAATCCTAGCCATTTTTAAATATGACAGTTGGACTACTTGACAATCTTCATGTAGACTGGAGGCCACAGGTAAAAAGGATGTGCTCTTTTATGTCAAATTATGTCCTGTGGTTTGTTTTTCGTGGAAGAAATTAAGGATATACTGTATCACAAGATGGGAAGCTGATACGCGTAGTGGAGTGATGTTACAAGGGTAAATGTTGTCCGGAGAACTCTCCGAATTTTACATGAAGTTTCACAATGCTTCGCAGCAGACAGCCTGAATTAGGAATTACCCGCATGGGTCTTGCTCTGAATGAATCCCCAACATCCTGATCCCTCTCATGACAAGGACACTTTTTGCTCCACGTTATGAGATTCAGAATACTATTACATGCCATTAAGTAACAACATTTCTGTCTTGATGAGATTTTTTGGTGACTGCCTCTCATTTTCTCTCCTTTTATAGACGGGAGTGTTTGCATTGTGGACCCTTCGATGGGTAGCAGCTGTTGCTAGGCATCTAGTGCGATGCCGTTCTCATGAAAGGTTTTGTTTCCTCTCCTAGGACACCATGAAACTCCTCTCTCCGCGTCTACTAAGATGCTGGAGAGATTCCCCAACAACCTGCCCAAACACCGGGAAAATGTGATTCCTAAAAAAAACAGAAGAAGAGCTTTGAGGAAGTGAGTGGGGAGGTGAACCCTGAGCTACTGGCTCTCCCTGTCAGCTGTTGGGGGGATAAGGCATTGGCCTTTGCCTTTAGAGCTTGCAGTCCACTCAGGAGGGAAGAGGGATGCATGAGAATCTGTGGCAAACCACAGACCGTTAAGGACTGATGGCGAGGAAGGGGATGCGATTAGCAAAGGCCGTGGGAAAGGCAGTAGGACCAAGTGGTGGGGTCTGGCCTGGTGGGAGAGGCAGAGGGCACGGGAGGGAATAGAACAGCAGAGGTAAAGGCTTGGAGGTGGGACTGGCCCTGGCATGTCCAGCTATAGAGCTGAGGAGACAGGCCTGACCAGATCCAAGGCTACCACGTAGGGAGCAGTGGGAAAAGGGATCACATGGCTACAGAGGGACCACGTTACCAAGCCTCGAGCAGGCCTGGCAGCAGAGCAAAGGTGGCGAAGAGAGGAAGTGGGAGACCTGAGGTCTGTGAAGCCAGGAGTGGCCTGCTTTGGCTACTTGCCCCGGCGGAGGCTTGGTCCGGCAAGGGGGACCCAGGGTACCCGCAGAATGGAGCATTAGTCAGCAAGGAGGCCTCCCAGGTGGTAGCTGCCATGAGGTTCTGACCGAGATGGTGTGCTAGTCAAGGTCAGCTGGAGACAGATGGCCACCCAAATTAGGATGGTTTGCGAGGAGTTTAGTAGAGGGACTATTCACACCGTGGACAGTTCCAGGCGTTCTCTCAGCATGCTACTTTGGCCTAACAGGTTGGGGAGGGAGTGGAAAGGGCCCAGACCGGGAGCCCAGAGCTCCAGTCGAGGGTATTCAGCGCCCCACACAACCGGACTTCGTTCTTTGTTGTCTCATCTGCCCGGTGTCTTAATCAAAAACCATCGGGCAGGGGAGACCATCGCTCTCTGGGGCACAGCAGGTGGAGAGTGCTGGAGAGTGGCTCTGCAGCAGGGTCCGAGCAGGCCAGTGGGTGGGGGTCCCAAGGCCATTCAGGCTTGGCAGCTTCTGCAGCCCTGCCTTGGGGGCCCAGTGACTGAGAAGCGCCTGGGCTGTGGGCAGGGTCAGAGGAAGACCAGAATGGCTGGCCGATGTGTTTGTTACGATCACAACAAATCCACTTAGAGATTTAGATTTTTATCTGGAGAGAAAGGAAAAGAAATTCATGTGGACGCTTAGGGTTCCAGGGCAAAGCGTCTATGTTGTCCCTCGTCTCTGGAGGTAGCCAGGTTGGGGACAGACACTGAGTCTTAGAACAGTGATCTTTCATAGCACGGGTGCCACAAAATCTTGATCTGGTTTTGATCTTATTAAAGCCAAATATATCCATCACTGGCCACTTAAAATATAAAAATATAAAGAAGAAAATAAGACATTACCCTTAATCTAACTCCTAGAAATGGCCGCAGGTTAGATTTTCATATTTAATCATTTAATCTTGAACAAAGTGCCTTTTAGAAGTGCATTAAAATATCCGAGGTACATTTATATGGTAATAAGACATTTTTTAATGAACGCACTTGAGTAAATATAACCAAATGAATGTTGTCCCTGGTCACATGTTCAGCAAACATTCCTCAGCTGCCTGCTACACACTGGCCATGCCACATACCCCCATACAGGGTGAGAGGGGGCAGCTGGACGGGGAGAGAAGAGCGCTGGAGGCAAAAGTCTTGGGGGCGTGAAAGGTGTGAGCGTGTGGGGGTTGCCTAGCCTGCTCCCTCGGAGGAGGCCGTGTGTTCGTTTCACTGGGCAAAAAGTCTGGAACACTAGACGCGCGAGAACAAATCAGTGCATTTTTATAAACTATCCTTGAACTATGCAAGGAGCTTGGACGGAAGCCCCACTTTACCCGATTTAATTTTGGGCTTCTAAATAACATTTTCTTTATCAAAGGATTCTGATCCTCAATGAAGACAAACTTTGAAAAATAATGGAATATTTGAATAAATGATTTTGGTTTTAGAGTAACACTGAGAGTTTACAAGCCACGTAAGAAGGCTGCTTTATTACTTTATAGCCACGTGTACGTGCGTGTGCATGCACGTGCGTGTATGTGTGCATTTTTCTTTTTTAATGTGAAATACTATTACCAAATTGACCACCAATATTTTTACCAGACTTTATACAAATGATTTCACAGTTTTCTCGAATATTAAATCTACCATCAAAGGAAGAAGTTTTTGTCTTCAGTGAGGATTTTTGAAAGAATATAGGCTGGGAAGGCGCTTTCAAAAGTATTGCTCTAAAACCTGTTTCTGAGCAATGATAACATCTCAGCAATAATTCACCTCAAGGCAGTCGCTTTGAAAAAGGCATCTGTTATCTGGCTTTGTGATCTTGGGTGGGCTTAAAAAACTCCAGCACATTTTACAGGAGGGTCAGTGTGTCTCTTGATCGTTCGGCTCATTTATGTCTTGTTAGACATCGTGCAGTGATGTAGCCACTCTCTCCCCTACCAGGTTATCCACCTGGTGGACCAGACCTCAGAGACTGCGCCCACCACCGTTTCTCAGGACGTGGAAGAGAAGTTCGCTAACGCCCCCGCCAAGCCTGAGGCCCCCATGGATTCCATGCTCAAGGACATAGCCACCATCATCCTGAGCACCTTCCTGCTCATCGGCTGGGTGGCCTTCATCATCACCTACCCCTTGGTAAAGCTCGGCCCCTGCTAGCATTTCCACATGTTTCTGAGCTGCTGTGCCCGTCACCTGATGTCAGTGAGGCTGGACAAAACCACAAACAAGCAAACACATTTCTTTTCACATTTAAAAGTCAGTATTTGCTAATCTTCAAAAGCATTGGAATTAAAGGACCAGTAGCTTCTCAGGAAAGGATAACCTTGTATCTACATCTTAAAGTTTAACTGATTGTACAAACTGATTCGGAAACCTTGTTCGCAGATCCTTTTGAATAGCTAACTATATATTAAGTACAATAGATGAAAATCTATTTAACTTTCCTCCCTTAAAAAGTATCTGTTAGAGAGATCAGCTAGAATAAAAAGGGAAGCATGATAATTCCTTCTATTTCCTAGTTGTAAATAAGTGAGCTAAAATTACGTGGTCGAATAGGTTGTGAGTTGGATAAAATATTCTAGAGGAAAAGTCCTTCATCAGGTTGCTCAGAGCACTGAAGTGTATCACCGTAGATCACAAGTGCTCGGGAAGGTCATATCCATATAGGAATGGGACTGATAAACCCTCGATGGCATTTGTCATTTGTTTAAATGGGTTCACCTGCGTTGTTTTATTTTTTACCTCACACAGTCCTATGAGGTCATTATTGCCTATCCCATTATAGGGACCCATAAATGATAAACTAGGCTCTGGGAAGTTAAAGAACTTTCCCAAGGTTGCTCAGTAGCAGATGGCATTTCCAGGATTTCAACCCAAGGTGAGGCGAGGGAGGGAGTGCTGGAGAACTCCCAGTGGGTCGTTGGGCACTATTTGTCCCTTTAGTTGCCTTCCCAAGCTTGGGCAGTAATAATCGCAGATCACTGTGCTTCAGATTATGACGGAATGACTTTCAGAATGAACGAGAGGCGTGGGGGTTGTAGGGAAGGCAGCATGATGACGTGGGGTGGGGTGCAGCGGCCAGGCTCCCTTGTCTCAGCGCCACACCCTGGCTGCACAGCTGTGGGCCGATGGCTGCCGGGTTCTGAGCCCCAACTCTCTCCTCCGCCTCTGGAGTGCTGACGGTCTGTGCACTACCCTCAGTCACATGCACGGCCATAGTAGACAGCAAGCCGGTCTCCCCCACACCCACCACGCTCTCAGCCACCTCGTAACCACTGTCTCTGTCTCATTCCCCTTTTACAACAACTCCCAGACTTTCATAAAAGTCTCAGAATTTTAGAATCGAGTGTAACCCCCTCCATCTGGCTCACTCCTCCACCTGGGACGGTCCCTCCTTTGCTGTCCCTACCTGGCAGTCATCCAGCCCCTTCAGGCCCTTCTAGTGCGGGGAGTAGGCTGCACTGGGAAGTCTTAACTGGCATAAAGACCTCCAGTCATTGAATGTATTCTGCCTCCTGCGCCTTCTCACTGGTCCCATCCCACCCCGTGGGGTCATATAAAGTGCACCTGCTTTCTCTGCCGCAGGGAGCCTCTCTTCCTGCCTGCTTGTTTCCCTGGGAGGACCGGCTGCCCTGGTCTGGATGTGTGTTTCTCTCCCCAGAGCATGCATCAGCAGCAGCAGCGCCAGCACCAGCAGTTCCAGAAGGAACTGGAGAAAATCCAGCTCCTGCAACAGCAGCAGCTGCCCTTCCACGCCCCTGGGGACGTGGCTCCGGACTCCGAGCTCCTGGACTCATCTGGCTTGTATTCGGAGAGCTCGGGCACCAGCAGCCCCAGCACGTCCCCCAGAGCCTCCAACCACTCGCTGCACTCCAGCGGCTCTGCCTCCCGGACTGGCGCCAGCCCCTTCCTGGAGCAGGATGACGAGGGTAAAGCGAGTTGCTGTTCGGTGCTGTTTTCTCTTTCATTTGATCACCACCCGAGAACCACAAAGCACCATGGCCTTCCTGGGATCTGCATGGGGTTAGGAAGTGCCGTTCCCAAGGGTTCACTCTGTTCTCACCTCACTCCCTCCCACTCTGGGGGCCAGGCTTCTGCCCCATCCCATGGCGTCTGCCCCTCGGAGGGCCTACTGGGGGCCCCTTGGCCCTTTCTCCATCTTGCCTCACAAGGGCCAGAAATCACTGCTGTGACCAGAAGTGCACTGTCTTGAGAGCATTCCCGAGCCAGCCAGGGGCCAAGGATAAAAATGCAACTGTTGCTCCATTTTCCTCTGAGAGGTTGGCTCAGGCCAGTTGTCAGGGCTGATATTTTGAGGTGATCGGCACAAGCTAGTGCAATAGACCTCAGAGTCCTAAGTCTCAAGCTGGAGACTGCTACTGGTCTCTTCGTTTCACATGTCCACTGTCACTACTGGAGTATTTCAGGTGCAGACCTTTGAGGTGGATCTCTAGAGGACCCGTGTCTTTGGGAAGGTGTTAAGCATTCATTCTCACAGAAATAATATAAGGCAGGACCAGAGGGTGGGGGACAGGGGTAGGAGGTGGCCCTGGACACAAATGAGGAGTGAACTCAGCAGCTCTTGCCTACCAGAACTGGAGCGTAGAGCCTCTGAGATCCCATGTCTTAATCTGAGGTCAAGAAGCTAGTAGCCATTCTAACCTCAAGGTTGCTTAGGTTATGTCTGTTTAAAACAATCTCTTCCGTTTCCTCTTTATCCCAGACGAGGAAACCAGCATGGTGATGGTTGGGAAAATTTCATTCTGTCCCAAGGATGTCCTGGGCCACGGAGCCGAGGGCACAATCGTGTACCGGTGAGTGGGTCGGGGAGCCCTTTGCCTTCCCACCTCAGCTGGGAGTGCCTGTCGGCTTGCGGGCAGCGTGCTGGGCTCCAGGGGCACAGCAGGGTCATAGCCCGGACTCAGACGGAAGAGTTCGCCTCCAGGGAGGGAAGTGATGACCACAGGGCCGCCTGGTGGTTGGTCAGGGCCCCCTGGGCTGTGAGACTGATGAGGTGGCCACTGCGTCAGGAGAGGAGGAGCACCGGGGTCCGCGGGTCTCCTCTGGTTCCCATAACCCGATGGGGCCCTCCAAACCCAAGCCTGCTCCTTGTCCTGCAGGGGCATGTTCGACAACCGTGACGTGGCGGTCAAGCGGATCCTTCCCGAGTGCTTCAGTTTCGCAGACCGCGAGGTCCAGCTGCTGCGAGAATCAGACGAGCACCCGAACGTGATCCGTTACTTCTGCACGGAGAGGGACCGGCAGTTCCAGTACATCGCCATTGAGCTGTGTGCAGCCACTCTGCAGGAGGTGGGCACCCCCCCGCCCCCGCCCCGCCTGCCAC